TGTCCCGGCCGGTGGAGCCCGGCCAGGCTGGTGGAGCTCGCCCCGCGGCCTTGCGGCCCGGCCGCCGCCCCGGGCGCTGCAGCTCGTAGGGCGGCCGAGGGAACGAGCCCCGGGGACGCCTGGTGCTGCGCGGTGTCTGTGCTGCCCTCCGTCCTGCTCTTCTGCCGCCCTTCTGTTATCGCGGGTGTCCTAGTGGCCTTCCAGTGTTAGGTTTCCACAGATAAATGTGCTGAGCGCTGATCAGCTGTCCTTTGAAAATGTCATTTTAAAAGCTTAAACTCTCGCTGTTATCGTTATCGTTCCTTCCCGCTCCTCCAACTTTACGTGAAAGCTTTAATCCAAAGTATTTTATAAAAGACTTTGGAGAGGGGAAAAAAGTAGTTTAGCTCACAGAGCTCTGCTGAAGTCAAATTGTCTAGCTTCTCACCAAAATCCATTAAAAAGTTTCTGGTTTTTGTCTCATTTAGGCTATTGAAGAGGAGGGAGGCGACCCAGACAACATTGAAATAACTGTTTCGGCCGACACACCCACCAAGAAACCAACTAAAGGCAAAGGTGAAGATTTATCAATATACATTACATTATTTAGCAGTTTTTGTTGCATATATTGCCTTAAAGAATCTGCAACTCTGGTATGTAGTTTGGAAACAGTTGTGACTTTACTCTTTATGGCTTCTGTCACGTAAGATATCTTTTGCCTTACTCTGTGCTCAGTCACTGTGGATAGATAGTGTATAGGGCTGCTGGATGTATATGGAGAATGGGTGGGTTAAGAGATGTGTTATGAGGTAGTGTCTGTATTGCCTGCATATCCTGGAGACGTGGGCTGTGTGTGCTGAGGCTGTGTAGGTGATCTGTGAGGTTTTTGGAATAGGATGCATGGAGGTCCTGAACATGGGGTGTTACAGGTGCAGAGTGAGCACAGGAACCACTGTGCAGCTCTGGTGCTGGGGATGTCTGTGCAACGGTGGAGGGAGAACTGAGAGGTTGTTTTGCCGTGGGAAGGTGCTGGACCTAAGCTGGTGATGAGTGTCCCATAATATGTAATATGGGGTCACTGCCTGAAGAGGACTCCGTTGTGTGGGTTTATCATCCTTTTTACTGAAGACAGGATTTATAAATAATAAATTTCTTCAGTGGGCTCTGAAGGCTCATTGTGAAATGCCCACTTAAGAGATTCTGGTTTTTCTGTTGTGAAAAATAATTAATTAGATTCTAAACACATCTGTTTGGCAGCGATTGTGTTGGCTCTGTATCCTTTTTTGTAAGTATTTAAATACTGTGTGAGTTTGAGTTCTGGGGAACGTCTGTTTGGGTTTTTTCTTTTGTGAGCATCCATATTTAAGTTATACTGGGAAAGGTATGTTTTATGCATAGCATTCTTCATAGAACATACATGCTAAGAATGTTCATATATGTGTGTTATAAATGCCTGTTTTGGAAGTGATCAGTATTGTTCCACTGTCACTTAGGCTGAGTTTTGTGGTAGAAGTGATTATTCATGCTTTTTTCTGGTGCTGTGATTGGGGAATTTAATAATAAAATCTATTTACTTAGAAAGTTTGAATAACTTAGCTGTAGTTTTGACATTAGAAAAGTGAAAGGAAATAAACTGTTTCACAATGTAGTTTCATTTTATTCTGTGATGTTACTTTGTTCCCTACTCTGGAGAAAACCTGATGGAAGAAAACTAAGAAAGCTCAAGAAAACTACATGGAAGTTAAATAAGGAAACACTTCTCCGATTTTTCATGTAGAGATCTAAATGGCTATTTGTTCTACTGTGATGAACACTTCTCTTATCTGCTGCTTTTCATCCTCCAGTTCTCCAAACTAGTATCATGATGAATATAGTGTTCTTGCTTCTTGTTTAGATACACTGTTTTGCTTCTGCAGAGGTAGTTTCTCTGCCAGTGCTGCCTGAGGCAGAGCTTCAGTAGCTGTTCCCTGCCAGCTCTTCTGTGGAATTGCATTGTAAGGTGTTCATATGACATGTACATTCTTGGTAAGAGTTAGAGTAAAACTTGACCTTCATGAAGTTCTTATCTGCTCACTTTGCAAGCTTAAGAGTTTTTCCTCATCACATTTTTTTTTAATTACAAGTCTTAGGAGCAAATTTTGTGCCAAAACTATGAGAGGCTCATGCTGTATTAATCTTCAAATATGAAGCAAAAAACCACACAAATTCATGTAGGGAAAACATTTTCTGATCTTACTGGTTTACTTCTAACTGTAAGAAAGAGTATTTTCTTTCTTTATAACTGTTCCTTGTATGTGTTAGCTGCTGATTCTGATGTTATCTCCTTCGCAGAAAACATCCTTCAAAACTTGGAAATCTAGCACTTCAAAAATTCATTTCCTAATGTATCACTAGGAAACTTTCAGAGGCATGTGGGCGATGCGTGCCCATCAACTGAATGCAGGAGAACTGAGTTTTCATTTAAAATTAACAATCTTGATCCTGCTTGTGCTTGTAAATGCTGTTCACTACTTGTTGCCTCCTTCATTCATTTTGCTCTAGGCCTTTTGCTCCACCCAACAGTTTTAGACTAAAACTGAGTTTCTAATTATTTTGCTGCTGACCAGCAGTAAAATTAATGGTAGTACTTGTCCTACAGTATTTTTCTCCTTGCTATTATTGCTCTACAAGAAGGTAGCAATATTAGATATTTGTTGGAGTTACGGTTAAAGGTCCAAAGAATAGGAATAATGGGGAAACCTCCTCATAGCAGCCAGAAAGAGGTGAATGGGAGGGAGGAAGGAGGTTTCCCTTCAGAAAAAAGGCAAACTGTGTTAGGTGGTTGTCAGTTTTAGACCTGAATGTCTTTTGTAGACAGTTTTACTGCAGCTCTTAAGGTCTGTGGAAAAAAGTGAGATGTCTAATTCCCTAGCATTGCCTTGTCAGAAAAACTTGATCTGGAATATTGTTGCAGGCTGAATGAGAGAGGAAATTGTGTGTTCCCTCTCATTGCTTTTTGTGTGTGTATTTTGACAAAAATGGAAAAGAGTAGGCATGAGGTTAAGGGTGGGACTTTCATAGATCAGGATTTTGTCATAGCCTAGTACATTAATTATCAACTGAGAATATACTGCAGTTTTTTACTGGACTGTTCAAAATTTTTGACAGCAATGATGCAAAGCCAGCTTGCTATGAGATAGGGAAGAAAGATCTGTAAAACACTATGAGTAGGGAAATAACGCTTTGACTAAACTGATTTGAATGTAGACTATCTTTCTTACAACAAACAGCAGCCTGCCAATGTCCCATACCAAGTTCTGCAGCATAAGTTATTCTACAAAAAAAGGAGTAATATTTAAAATAGTGCATTTGCTGACTTGCCCAAAAATGAGATACACAGAGGGAGCCTTGTGGCTTTTCACCAGGAAAATGTATAACTGGAGGATTTTGCATCAGGACTTTAAGAATTATTTCAGATGGGTTCTGAAATCTGTCAAGAAACCTTGATCAATACTGTGTGCAAAGTTAGTAAAAATTTAATGCTTTTTCCTAGAAGCTAATTTATTTAAATATATGGGGCAGTGAGGAACTGCAGAGCAGTCAATCAGCTATACCGCTGAGATCAGTTGGTTTTGGCAATTAAAGTTTGAAAGCTTAAAGATGGTTCAAATACCAAATCTCCTTTAATTGCCCCAGCTGTGCTTCTCCATCCTGGAATTCAGTAGATATGGACAAAATCTTTATTTTTGTACAAAGGTGTCAGTGTTTGTAAAAAGCTGTTCATCTCAAGCCCAACATTCTGCTGCTTATTCTTACTATCTGGAGGAAGTTCCTTTACTGCTTGTGTGAAATATTTCTCAAACGTTTCCGATGCGGACGTTCTTTGGAAGTATCTGCAGTCAAAAATATTGTAGCATATTGATACATAATAATGTGGTGACTGAAATTTACTTTTCTGCCTTGTTTTGGAATTCATGTGGATGAAGAACGGGTATTAGGCTAATACATTTTAACCTCAGAGTATTAACGTGAGCAAAGATGTTTATTTGCTGCCCTTCGAGTTTCTAAGGCCAGTTAAAGACCTATTACTTTTTGTTTTAAATACCCCTCTAGTTTCTGATTGAATTTCCAGTTTGAGAATACTGTTTCTTAGATCAAATGCTGACAACTGGCAGTAGCTGGCGTATACTATTGCCCAAATAATTTTGGCTTCTTTGTTTAGTTACTTAAAAAATTTAAGTTGTACACTGTTGACCTTCAAAAGGGGTGGAGTGGGGGAAATAATCTGTCATTATGTCATCTGTCCTTCAGGAATATTAAAGTAACTATTTTAACAAAGTGTTCATTATTTCTTTTCCTGAGTTTTTAACATCTGTTACTGTAGTTCTGTGATTTGATTTCTTAAATGCTGTGCAGCAAGCTTGCCCAGAGGTAGATCAGAGTTCTGGCCAGTGAATCATTGCTGGAGAAAGATAGGGATTCCCAGCTCCACTGAAAATAGGTGTTTAATGGCTGTGTTGCACACATGGTGTTATTTGTGGGGTGCTAGAAGAAATGCCTTGATTTTAATCTTGAAAAATCTAATTTTCCTATTTTTTCTAATATTTTTCAGAATACACTTTTTAAATGAGTCTTCTTGCTGACCTTTACTGACCTGCTTTTTTATTTTTTTTAAGGCAAGCAGGTGCATTGTTGTTTCTTGGTGGCTGGTTCTGTTGATCTGCTTTGCAGTTGCTGCATAAAATAGCAAAGATTAAAAAGTGACTTCTCCAAATATTCTTCAGGGACATGTGCATTTGCACACATTGCTGTTGCACAGCTAATTAAGGCTCTTAATGTTACATTGTCTTAATTGACTTACAAAATAGGTTTGTAAATCTATTACATCTAGGATAACTAGTGGTGTTCAATCACTGTGTATCCCTGCAAATTCTTACGTGCTTCTGTCAAGATTAAACCAACTGTTGACACTCTACTCTTTCTCAAGTGTTTTACACAAGACGGAATACATTTTAAGAAAATTAATACATTCTCCTCTTTTGAGAAAAAAATGTGTGTAAATTACTTGTTAAGAGGACATTCCTTTTAAAGTAGACTTTCTTCTTGCATGTTAATGAGTTGATAGTGTAGAGAACAGAATCTCTCTCTGGATGGAGGGAATTTTTAAGCTAAGATACCCAGGTAGATGACGATAGAAATTTAAGATACTGTAAGTTGTAGTCAACACTTGAAAAATAACATGCAGATAAACCTTGGAAACACTTTGCATAGTTGGTTCCAGTATTTGCAAGTGGTATTAATTGTTTAAGTTATGATATATTATGCCTTATTGAAATGAGATATAAATGGTGTACAGCAAACTGCAGGTGCCCTCAGAGAGGAAGGAGTAGTCTTGCCAGATACTCCCTGAGTAATTCCTAAGGTGGGGGTGACTAATTTGTCCAACTAGCTGGACTAGAAAGTGTGACAAATGTTTAATCCTGTGATTGCAAATTGTAGCAAATCTTACAAACAAGTCAGTGGTTTTCCAGAGAGTGTCCAGCTTTGCAAAGTAGATCCTTTATAAAAACCATAAATGACTAAGACCAGTATCCTGTGGACAGTTTAGGAGACTTAAATATTCTTGGTATCTATGATACCCTTTAAGAATACAGAAATGTAACAGGTTAATTTATTTTCGTTAATATTGTGGCAAATGATACTATTAAAATTGTAGTAGACTTCTTAACTAAGTAATGCTATAAATAGTTTATTCCATTCTAAAGATTTTATTTCCCCCTCCTCTTTTTTGCCTCCTATCCCATGTTCATGTTTTTCATGAATCTTAAGCATCGGCTGTGACAAAACTTGTTGGGGTTTTCAGTAGGAACACCAGAAGAAATGAAAGCACTAATTATTCCATAATTTTATGATAAGTGTGTCACTTGACTTCTGCATGAGATACAGATGTCTAGTTTGATTAAGACTTGCCTGAAGTACACTCTTCTATAATTCTGTATACACTCAAGTAGCCTGAATTTCTCATGTAGGGGACCATGAATAGGTAGAATAAACGTATACTACTGTAAGGCTTGTAAGTGAGATGAAAGCTCTACCTGCATAATGTTAAACCAGTGCTTGAAGGCTGTTCTAAATCTTCTACTCCTAAGGAGAATATTCCTTTTCTATGTAAACAGACTTGAAATTTTATGGTGTGTATCAATTGCCATTGCCAGAAAAGGGATTGAGCATGGCTTATAATGGAGTGGTATCATTCCATAGTACTTGTGGTTTTAGGCACCTAGTTTTGTGATTAGTGCTGCTTACATCACTGACATTTTCAATAGCCACTGCCTGGATAAACCTGTGCATAAATTTTACTCCATGTTTACAATTTGTATGACTCGAGACCTACTTTGCCTGCTGTCTGCAGAAGGTCCAGCTGTTCTGACTGTAATTGTTAACATATCTTTTAATCCTAGTTCTTTTCCTCAAAGTGGTATCACTCTTGAATAAATGCACAGAAACAGTTTCTGACAGACATTTGTTGCAATCTGACTTTGTTTATGTGAAATTATGAGCTGTATGCCTTTCAGTAGCCCATTATAGAAGCGTATCAGTATGAAAAAGTTCTGCATTTTTGTGGACACTGGCTTTTTGGCAAGTTACTCTACCAAGATCTGAAAACTGTCAATTGGAACCTTGAAGTGCCACTTTTGAGCAATGTGGCTCTAACCAGATCAAAGTAACCCGAAACACAGAAGTAAGAGGGAAAGCAAACTTCCTGCCACTTTCTGGCTTGAGGCTGAAAAGTGAAGGTCATTGTTCAGGTTGCCTGTGCCTTAGAATACGTCTGGTATTCAGAGTAGTCTGGTATTCAGAGTACATGGGACTTAATGCAAAGACAGACGGACTTAAAAAAAAAAAAAAAAAAGCTAATGAAAATATGTATTCCTGTCTGACTTAATCTAGCAGCAAACAAAAGATATGGACAGCTTTGTACTGATAGGTATATCTTCCTCTTGATGAGGACGTCAGTGAAATATAATTCTCTAGCTGCCTTGCAGAGTGATGGGACTAATTTGAAGTAGCTTTGTAAATTTACTTTTCTATTCTGTATGAAGTCTGGGTTCTAGTGTACCTGCCAGAATTCCCCAGGCAAAATGAGTGAATTTAAATACCTTTCATGATAGTACATGCTAGGGAGTTGCTAAATACGCCTAGCATCTGCTGTGCATGTTTGCCTGCTTCTGTATATGCTTAGCTGGATATGGGATGCTGGAAAAACTTGGACTGTATGGTTTAGCAAACTGAAGAACTGAAGTGTGAGAGGGCTGTAATGGAAAACTGTTAAGTGTGTGTAGAAATCCTTGCTGTCTCACTGCTTTTTACTTACATTGAAAATATGTATGGCTGTAGATGCAATCACAGGATGCTATAACAGTAACACTAGGTCAGGTGGGTCAGGTTTGCTTTCAGGTATCATCTGTGAAGCATATAGAAAAACCTGCCCTGTCCAGTGTAAGTTCTCTCCTCTTTCTGAGGAAAGCCAGCTTCCCTACCCATACCCATGCTGCTGACTTTTCACACCAAAATCTCATAAATCTATTGCGTTATAAATATAAACCAGGAATGTTTAGTTTGTTTTAATTTATATAAACAAAACAACACTGTGTTGAATATTGGAGTACTGTCAGAGGGCTGCCTTTCAGTGAAATGAGTAAAACCAATTGGAATGTAAGTAAAACCTTTCTTCTTGCCCTATAGTTGAGCAATTTTCAGCTTTGAAGTGCATATAGCACATGTCTATGAAACACTACGGAAAGACTAGTTGCTAATAAAAATTGCCACTTCCAGGTAGCAGAAATGTCTGTGCCATATCAGATTTCGGCTTATGTTTTTCTTTTATATTCTTTTTGAATACCTATAGAATAGCTTTAGCCAATCATTAGAAGAGAAAAGGATGAGGGAAAATGAGATGTCAAAAAATAATGTTAAGTGCTGATCATGGCTGACATCTCATTTGCATCCTGAATTGACACTGGGTTTCAGTAGGAGATAGTAAAGCTGCTTCCTAACAGAAGTGCTTCGTACCTTTGGCTACTGAAAACCATCACATAGGCCAGTCTTTGACAGAAGGAATCAAGACAGAATGCTCTACAAAGGATATGTTTGTGTGGAGATATTTTTATCTAGTGTCCATTGGTCTTGTTTTTGTGGAAGAATAATGAAATGCAATGGGTTCCAAAGGGAGCTGTGTCTAGTCATCATCTCCACGGAGCCTGTATAAAGTGTGCATGTGCTAGAAGAAAAGAATTCTTCAGTGGAACATGCCCTTAGTACAGTGAAGAATGTGTAGAAAACCCAGGTGTTTCATCTGACTCAGTTCTTCTGCTGATTGTTCCCTCTAGTGATGAAGAGCACTGAAATAGGTGGCTTGGAGAGGCTGGGCAGTTCCTCTACTTATGGATACTAAAAAAACATAGCTAGATGAATCCCTGAGCAATCTGATCATACTTAGCTCTACTTAGCTCTACTTTTGAGCAGGAGGTTGGGTGGACTAGATGATCTTTAGAGGTTCCCTCTAACCTAAATTGCTCAGTGATGCTAATTATTCCAAAAAGTAGGGCCTTTTCAAAGTCTTAAGTCATAAAGTCTACTTAACTCCAGGAATTCTTGAAATGTACACTTTAATGTTCTCCTGAATTCCATTATCACTCAAAGTAGAAGGATTGGTATTAAAATCACTGATTTGGTTTTAACTACTTGTTTATGCAGCATCATTGATTGTGCTACTCAGCTGATGTTTTTTCTCCTCACCTTAAGAATACTGAATTTTGGAAGGGTTATATTACAGTGAACAGTTCAGATAAGCTAGAGTATATGGAGAATAATAAACTAAGGCCCAACACATAATCAGTAGTGAGGGGATGTCTGCTCTGCATAGCAGCTCTGGTCATTAGCATATCCTGTCATTTCAGGTAAAAAGCAGGAAGTTGATGAATTAACTGGTGATGCTTCAGTTGAAGATGATTCCTTTGTCAAGGTAATAAAAGTATGTATTTTTTTTTTTCTCAGTTTGTATTTAAGTTCAATGTTGGCCTGATTTAAAAAAAACAACAACAAAAACACCGAAAAAACAACAAACTTCTATTTTCTTTGTGCTAATTTATGTGGCAAGTTTGAGCATTGTTTTTACTGTGTTCACAGCTGTGATGCCTAAGGGTGTGAAAGTGTGGGGTGGGTTTTTAAACATGCTATGAATTTTTATTTTGGATGTGATACAGTATTTTGCAGAAACTAGCAGTGAAATTTTTCAGAACACAGCTAATACCCTTAGTTATGCCAGATATTTGTTGTTCACACCAAAAGGAATGTGAGTTGGAGACTCAAGATGCAAGTGATCAAGATGGAAATGATGAATTAAAAGACTTTAAAGAATCTGCAGAAGATGAGAACTTGAATTCCAAAGAACTAACACCTGCAAAAAAGAAAAAATACCATGACCTGGAGCCAGCAGAGACAACAGAAGGTGCAGAAAAGGATTCTGAAAGTCAGGTACTTTGTTTTATTTGACATGCATTTTTATTGGAAAAAATGTGGATTTCTCTTAGTGTGTCTGGATTACTAGGCAGTCAGAACTAGTTTTTCAGTTTGTCTTGCTTGCTTATCTGGAAGGATGATTTGGTACTTTTTTCTTTCTGTTCTCCTTGACCCATGTTTTAATAGTCCTGAAACAATTGTGGCATTGACTGATAAAATTCTACCACAGTCCATACAGAGTTCCTAAGTGGTCCTTTTCCCTGGTAGTGACACAGGTAATCTGAACACTGAACTGAAAGATGCAGGTCATGAGAACTGCTCATCAGTTATTGAGCGTCTGTGCCCTTAACTAAAACATTTTCTGAGTTAATTGAATCTCTTGACTCTCTGAATGTTTACGTGTCTTAAAAATAGTTTGCTGAGCAAGTCCCTCTTACATTCTCATAGGAAAATGAAGGTCAAGACATAGAAGATTACACTTTTCCAACTGTCCATGTAAGTTCTAAATCAGTTCTGTTAAGCTGGTTGTCATGTCTAATCAGTTGGAAAAGATCACTTTTAGAATGGCTTTTTGTTCCAGCATGCATCTTAGAGAGTCAGATGATGCAATACAGCAAAGGTAAACAGTATGGGAGGATTTAATATTGTTTTAAAATACACATAATTATCATTTCCAAATAAGACATCCTATTTAAATGCAAAATCCTGTCTACAGTTTGGGAGTATTCAGTGCATAAACTTAGCAAGCTCTCTTAAAAACGCTTCAGAGGGCTATGCCAAACGCTAACATAGTATATACAGCCTATGCAGGAGTTTAGAACTCCTTTTCTAACATAGAAATTTGCCTTTGGAGAACGTCTTGGGGGAGGTGTAGGTCGTTTGGGATTGGTTGTTTTATTTTTTTAATACTAATATCTGTAACAACTTTAAGTTCAGAAATTCATTCTGAGTTACATGGAATTGATAGCTGAAAAGGGACATCTTGTACATGTCTTGCTCAGTGAGGTTAATGATAACTAAGTAAATGCCTATTAAAATCACTGTTCTGTTTTTAAATACCTATTGGAGGAAGTCTACCTAGTTTCTGACTTCTGCCCTAAGCTTTTAAGGCTAATGATGGCTTGCTTGCATTTTATTGACAGCAATAATCAGCAGTGTGATAGCCATTTTCAAGGCTTTTAGCAGGACATGGGACAGTTTAGAAATGTCCTGTTAAGTAAGGGGGGATACAAAGTAGCTGTGTGTTCCACCCAGTTGGAAACTGCAAGTATTGCAGATTTATACCAGTGAAGTTTCATACACATTTTTGGTGATTTGACAAGGGAGGTGGATTTGACACTCTTTGTTTCTAGATAATCTTTTCTTTGACAAAGGTTTTCAGTTCATTAATTTGCCTTCATCTGATATAAATTCTATGGGAAATACAAACTTTTCTACATAAAGTTTTAAAGTAGGAGACATTTAGTGTTGACTCCTTTTCTTGCAGGATGGTGAAGATGAAGAAAATGAGAAAGGTATGTTTAAAGTTTAATAGAGTTCAGAGGTCTTTAGTCTGGTAGAGCAGGTGGCTTTCTCTTGTAATATTAAATCTCTGAACTAATATTAGGCTTGTCTCCAGTACTAAGAATCAGTTGTCTCCTTGTTAAGCTCAACACCTGGAATCATTGCAGTCAGTAGGTTTATTTGACTCCTAAGAGTTACTTTACTCTTAAGAGTTGATTACAGTACTTTATCAGTTACTGTGGTGGATGTACAATACAGATATAATACTATGATTCTTAAATGAAAAGCATAGTATTTAAGGACTCAAATTAATTACACGGTAAGTCTTGACACAAAAGCTTCCAACTTGCACTGCAGTAACTGATGTTTAATTGAGTGGAATTGCACCCTTAAACCCAACAAGTGTAGGGACCATCATATGCTTGGCTTACTGTTAGAAATTACACTTGTATATAGGATGGTAAAACAAGTGTTTGGAAACCTGTGGAGTAGCTACCTTTTTTTTTAAGCTGTGCTCATTAGTGAAACTATAGAAGGAGTGTAATGCATTTGGGCAAACAGACTTCCTGGATAGAAGTCTTAAGGATTCTACATATTGTGGACTAGAAGGGACATGGAACACCATCACTTTACACAAGATGGAATAAACACATTACTGAAGTTACAGGATAAAACTACAGACTCCATGTTTACGAGGGACCGTATGGCTGAAGTGTCTCATCTGCACAAATCCAAGAACACGGTTGGAGATGCCTCTGTGGGACTGAGATGGAAAACTGCCCAGTGGATGAAGACTGAGAACCACTTGTCTACGAACTCTGGATTAAAGCTCCCTCCTCCCTCTGCTGCAGCAGCCTTTTACAGCTAATTTGACTGCCGAACAACTGCTTTGGAAGGAAAATCACAGGAGAGCCCCAGCATGGAAGAGTGACTGAAATTCTCCAAGACTGTAATTCTGTCGGATATGGGAAGAATTCCTAGAACCAGGAAGATTCAAAGACAGATTAAATCAAACTGTGAGCGTCCAAAGCAACTATTTTCTTCTGGAACGCTAAATGCTAAACTGGAAAATGGATACTTCTTATGAAGAACGGGTATCTCCAGGATGCAACCATATTCCCCCTCCTAATGTTTTGGTATTTGTCTCTAGAAAATGTGTTTTGCCATGAAGAATAAGTGATCCTGGGTAAAGGATTTATATTTGTGTTAATACACCTTTGTGTTTTTTTCTAACCTTCCATCAGTGCTAATAACTGGCTTTGTATTTTCTAGGTCCTATTCTAGCTTATGCATATGAAATTGTTTAAACTTCTTCTTTTGCCATATTTATTCCTGTTAAATCCTCTTAGATAAAGCAGGTTCTGGTGATGGTACACAAGAAGTATCTAAACCTCTTCCTTCAGAAGAAAGCCTAGCTGAGGCTGATCACACGGCTCACGAAGAGATGGAAGCTAACACGTCTGTGAAAGAAGCTGAGGATGATAACATATCGGTTACAATCCAGGCTGAAGATGCCATCACTCTGGATTTTGATGGTGATGACCTCCTAGAAACAGGTAAAAATGTGAAAATTACAGATTCTGAAGCAAGTAAGCCAAAGAATGGGCAGGATACCATTTCACAGAGCCTGGAGAAGGAAAGCAAGGACTATGAGATGACTGAGAACCATAAAGATGGTAAGAAGGAAGACTGCGTGAAGGGTGATCCCGTCAAGAAGGAAGCCAGAGAAAGTTCAAAGAAAGCAGAATCTGGAGACAAAGAAAAGGATACTTTGAAGAAAGGTCCCTCGTCTACTGGGGCCTCTGGTCAAGCAAAGAGGTTTGTTTTTCTATGTCAGTTCTTTACGATACTGAGTACCAGCATTCAATAAGATCACTCTACATTAAGGGGGTAGCAGCAAGAATCTTATAATTAGTATCCTATGCTCCTGCCTATAGATTTTTTTTTTTTGACCGCCATAAGTTACTTTTTAAAATTCAAGATCTTCGTATAGACACTATGTCCTACTGATTGCATTGTCGAATTGTCAGCATTTATTTATTTTTTTCAAATTGATGATTTTTTTTAAATGTCCTTGTGATGATGGTAATGAACAGCTTTCAGTTCTAAGAACACAAAATGAAGTCAAGTCCCCGTCCTGAAATCTGGAGAAGATTGCCATATATCCACTGAATAGAGTTGCCAGAAAATCTAGATCTTCAGGCATCTTGGGGAAAATCAGTGCAAGAATCCATAAGGGAATCATTTGTTCAAATATACAGTCTAGCCCTTTTTTTATTTTTTGAAATGTTAACTTGTCTGTTAGTATTAGTAGTATAAACTGCTTCCCACATTCTGTATTTTCAATTTTCTTCTGGTTTTTAATTTGCTTCTCTAGCTCTACTAAGGAATCTAAAGAAAGCAAGACAACATCAAAGGATGATAAAGGTAACTGTTACAAATTAGGGTGGTATTGTTTTGAACTGAATGCATTCCTGTTTGAGAAGTTGCATGCCATGTACTACAATAGCTTACATAATGGAACTCTTCCCTCTGTAGTAAAAGATGCTAGAGGTACAGCAGTCATTAGCTATACTTGTGCCTTTTTTTTTTTTTTTAACTTATGCCATATTCCTCTTAATATAAAAAATATTTATTCTAAGGACTAAATTAAAATACATTCTCCTATTTCAAAACACTGTTGAGAGCAAAGTCCACATAAGGTTTCCCAAGTCTTTGTTTTGATGAGAAAGCGTAGTTTTCAGATATGCCAAACCTTGTCTACAACAGTTTGGATTGATGTTACACACAGAACAAATGCAAAAGCAAGTACTTAAACATAACACCAGTACAAGTTTTTGTTTTAATTCTAGCTTATTTCAAATAAAATGACCTCTCAGACAAGTATAACAGCTGAGGTGCCAGCTAGCAAAATGGCACTTGTGGCTGTTTAGTGTGTTAAAGTTGGACCTATTTGTCTACCTTGGACTTTTGTCTCTTACCATAAACCCTGTATTAGAATTACAAATTCACAGAGTGGAAATCAAGAGCACATTATTGTGCTTCATAGTTGAACGAATGCATTTCTATCAATTCACTTGTCTCCTTATTTTGCCTACTATCTCCTTGCCAAAAAGCTTGGTCATAAATTCTCTTGCATATCACTAATGGAAGAACAACTTCACCTGTTAAATGAATTTCTGAGGAGAAACTTTCATGACAGACATAACTCAGTCTTCTGTAGATGCTTGTCTGTTTGTGACAGTTACAGTGAAATTAAATGAAGATACAGCAAATCATGCTTTCATCTGCTATCATTTCATAATAGTAACTGTCATCAGCCTATCTTAAAATATATAGCCAAAGCCAGTACAGTGGCACTTTAATGATATTCTAAGCGTATCACTGTTTATCAAGATACCTGGGATTATCAAGATAATCCTAGTTTGACAGTAACTGAGATTTGTTGCCTTTTGCTCTTAGTTCATCTTGATGCACTGAAGACCTCAAGGTGGTTAAATTAGCTTTTAAAACTGTGCATACCACCAGATTTTTCCAACTGTTTAGCTGGAAATCTAGTTCTGGTCTTGCTTGTATGCCTTCATTTTAACGTGCTTGGAAAGTGGTTCATATATTTAGCAGCAGACAACAAGCCAGACTAAATAAGATTTAAAGATGTTGGGAATAACATCATGTTAATCTCTTGAGTTCTTACTTCTGTGTTGTTGCAAAAATGGTTAATATCTGGGGAGGGGGGTGGTTGGCCTTTAAGGCACGTAATGTTTTTCATCTTTTCTTCAGTGTTCTCCTTAATATGCAGGAAATAATTTTAGTGGGTTGCATCCAGTTCTACACCCAGCAGTATTTTTAAAAATTGCTCTGGACAGAAGGCAAATGTTTCAAGAAGCTGTGGAAATTGACCACATTGTTCTGGAGGCTAGGATTAACTAAGTCCTCTCTATTTAACTTCCGCCATTTCTTTGGTAATCTCAGTAGTGTAGAGACATAATGCTGGAGAACAAATGTTGGGTGCTAAAAAAAATAATGTTCTTGGATGGAAGTTATTGATAAGAACCAGAAGTTGAAGCTAAATGTACCTACCCAAATGAGGGTAAAGCATGCCTTTAACATGTATGATTTCTCTAGCTCTGTCATTTGAGTATGACTTAGCCAAGCTTGTTGGTCTCAATACATGGGTAAATTAATGAAATCTTATGGCATATATTTTTTTTATATAGAAGACTTTTCAAGAAAGGTAACCGGATTAACAGTTACTTAAAGGTAACAGGCTAAGTTTCTCTTTTCAGCAACAGTTTAGTTCGATGTTCATGGTACCTTTGTCTCCTTAATTTTTTGGCTGTTTTGTAAAACTTGTTTCAGGAAGTGCAAGCAGTGTTAGTGGTAGCAGTGGAAGTTCAACTAGAAACCTGTGGGTTAGCGGACTGTCTTCCAACACAAAAGCTGCTGACTTGAAAAATCTCTTTGGCAAATATGGAAAGGTATTTCATGGGGTGTGATGTCATGTGTGTTGTGTCTGTCTCTTCCTCCTCCTCTTCAGTTAGAGAAATTGAGTAATACTTGATTTAAATAAAAGTCAGAAAATGTCTAACCAATGTAACCTAAAAAACCCCAATACCTTGAGCATCTAAAGAGTGCATGCTTACAGGAAGAAACATATGTTACTTTTATAAGAAAACTTTCTTCCTGTTGAAGTAAGATGCAAAAGAAATGTCACAAATATGACTGGTCAGCACTAGCTTTAAATTTTTTTTTTTAATTAAATAATGATGGCTGTGTTCTTTTGCAGCAACTGTGTTTAACCATGAGTGTAAGATAATGTGCTAACTGGTAAAATTTTAATATAACTGGTCTTACTAGAACCTTCTGCTTTGGGAGGCTGTTTTTAAAATATGTTCTGAAGGCTTAAGAATAGTAAAAACAGGTAAAATATGGATCAGTTAATGTCAGTGCTTTTAGGGGCTCTGTCAATGACTTAATTAATTTTCTACAGGCTGCTTAAACTAAGTCTGTTTCCTTGGTTTATGGTTTAATTTAACATATGAATTCCATAGAACAATGCAGAATCCATTCAAGCTAAGCAGTCTTCTGAAAACAGATTTAGTTGCAGTTGTTCTCACTTTCTCAAAGGAGTTGCTGTTAACTATCTGAATTCCTAGTGTTGGTATAGGCCTCTTAAGTTGTGACATTGTTGCATCTTGGAAACTAGTTAGAACTTAATCACTGAGTGTATCAAGTGTGTGTACTGATTTTTTGTTGTTATTTTTCTAATGAGAAAAGTATATTTTCTTAAAACTTTTAATTCTTGAACTGTTTTTGCTGCAAAGATGCTTGGTAACTGTATTTATTTAGCTTCCCAGTTCTAAATTAATTGGAAAATACTTCATTTCTAAATGACTGTACTATTGATTGCTAGAAAGATTAAATTGTTGCATGAGAGTAGGACTACACCAAGAAGACTGGCTCCAGTAGCTATAGAAATTCTAGCAAGGAGCAGGAACACAAAGCTTAATGCTTTCTCAGGAGCAGGTGTCAGAGAGCTGGCTGCCAAAATTGCTTAATCAGCATGGTGGCTGTTGAAGAACTGGCTCCCTTATTCAGTTACTGCTTAACACTGCCTATAACAGACTCACAGAATCATAGCGGTTGGAAGGGACCTCAAAAGATCATTTAGTCCAACCCTCCTGCCAGAGCAGGAGGACCTGGAGTAGGTCACACAGGAATACATCCAGGTGGGTTTTGAATGTCTCCAGAGAAGGAGACTCCACAACCTCTCTGGGCAGCCTGTTCCAGTGCTCTGTCACTCTCAGAGTGAAAAAGGTTTTTCCTTCCTGCCATTAATTTGCAGCTGCTGACTTTTTGTGGGGATTCATCTGTCAGACATGCACCACTAAAGGCAGATCAGTGGTGTTTCTCTGTGTGCATTTTAGTAACTGTGAAAAGCAGCTTTTGGATAAATGTGCAAGAGGTGGTGACTGCTAAAAACAGGACACAAGCATTAATATGCCTTGATGTGAAAGCTGGGATAAATTCTCAAAGCTGCAGCTTCCTGGGGAATTATGTGAGTGACAGTCTTTCTAGGGAGGTTGGTTTTTTTGTTGCCAACCCTCCTGCCAGAGCAGGAGGACCTGGAGTAGGTCACACAGGAATACATCCAGGTGGGTTTTGAATGTCTCCAGAGAAGGAGACTCCACAACCTCTCTGGGCAGCCTGTTCCAGTGCTCTGTCACTCTCAGAGTGAAAAAGGTTTTTCCTTCCTGCCATTAATTTGCAGCTGCTGACTTTTTGTGGGGATTCATCTGTCAGACATGCACCACTAAAGGCAGATCAGTGGTGTTTCTCTGTGTGCATTTTAGTAACTGTGAAAAGCAGCTTTTGGATAAATGTGCAAGAGGTGGTGACTGCTAAAAACAGGACACAAGCATTAATATGCCTTGATGTGAAAGCTGGGATAAATTCTCAAAGCTGCAGCTTCCTGGGGAATTATGTGAGTGACAGTCTTTCTAGGGAGGTTGGTTTTTTTGTTGTTGGGGTGGTTTGGGGGATTTTTGGGTTTTATATACTAGGATAAAAGTATTATTGGAATACCATCACTTCGTTACTAGAAATGTCTCTCTCAAAACCTACATTTTACCTGTTTATGTAGGTGCTTGGTGCCAAGGTGGTCACAAATGCACGAAGCCCAGGGGCAAAATGTTATGGCATAGTAACAATGTCTTCTAGTACAGAAGTGGCTAGATGTATTGCACACCTTCATCGAACAGAGCTGCATGGACAACAAATTTCTGTTGAGAAAGTAGGTTTAATAAGATGAAAACTTTTCCCAAAATAGACCATCTTATGCAAGAATCTTTATTAACCTATTTGCTTTTGGGGAAAAAAAAACATAGGTGAAAGGCGATCCCTCTAAGAAGGAATTGAAGAAGGAAAGTGATGAGAAATCTGGTTCGAGCAGAAGCACAGGAGATAAGAAGTCTGCATCAAGTGATAAAGCCAGCAAGTAAGAAATTTCATGTGTCTTCTGAAGTTGTGAAAAGCCTTTAAGTTGAATTTTTCTCATTCTGTTTGTGTTTCTTTTCCTAACAAGAACTCCATCAACCAAAAAAGAAGAGAAGAAATCTGAGAAATCTGAAAAAAAAGAAAGTAAAGAAGCCAAGAAAACAGAAGGTAAAGATGAGAAGAGTGATAATGGAGCAAGTGGCCCTAATCAAGAATCCACTAAAAAAACTGAAGAAAAGAAAAGAATAAGTATGCAATATAGCAATGTTTCCTCCTGTTGAATCTGTGTGTCTGACTTGTTTTTGGGGCATGTTCTTGCTCTTACCAGAAACCAGACAATGAAACCCCTGCTCTTTTTTAGACTCCAGTAACATGTATTACTTTAGAGCTGATGTTAAAGCTTCCATATTTTATATTACTACTTAATTACAGACGTGTACTAGTATGCTTTGCTTACCAGTAACAGCTGAATTTAGAGATTTAGAAATTTCACCAAGGAAAATCTGTAATAGGCAAATAGGGATGTGTGTATGTGTTAAACCTTTTTTCTTCTTTTTTTTCTCACCCCTTCACTAGGTGGTAAAAGCCCAGGTCAAGTTGTAGTTTTAGACCAAACAAAAGGAGACCAAGGCCACACTAGAACAGTTAGAAGGGGAAGATTTGATAAAGTAAGTATCTATACACTTGATGCAATCCTTATTTGATTTGATACTACTGTACTGTTGATATTTTCACTGAAAAGTCAATAAACTATCACAAACTGTTAAGCTTAGCTAGAAGCTTTGTATGCTTTGGGGATAGCCAAGTAGTTAGTTATACTTGAATATAGCATCCATAAATCTCCCTAAATGAATGAGACTTCTGAAATAACCATTGTAATCTCTGTCTATAGCCACAGATATTGAGGAACAAAGAACGTATTATTCAAGAAAAAGTGAAATTCAGGGAATACAGGGGTAGAAAGGATATCTTGCCTTTTGAAAAGATGAAGGAACAGAGATTGCGAGAACACATGGTTCGGTTGGAAAGAATACGACGAGCTGTTGAACTCCGAAGGTAATAATTCAACTTTTTGCTAAAGGCTTATTTTATGCATTAAATTGATCAGATATTATATTAAGAAATCCAACTAGAATGCATTCTGTCAAGCGTTTCACTCAGATGTTAAAGTCTGAGACTTTAACAGACCTAAGAATGTCTTGATATGAATTAATGGACTCCAGAACTTTTGTTTAATCTTTTAATAGCCCTACATGTACTCTTACAGCTTAGTGTTTGTAGGGGGGGTGTGTGTATCTCAAGTGTTACTGTATACCAGGTTTCTTGTTGAAAAGATAAGAAGTTGACTAGGAGATGTGACCAATTAAACAGAACTAGTGCTTACCTAAATAACAAATTAAGTGTAATACAATCTGTCCCTTTAAATAAAAGGACTTAATGGCTACACTCCTCCATTCTGCTCTTCTTATGTGTCCAAAACTTTGCAAAGGCAAGTCAAATGACTTGTGCTGTGAGCTGGAATTTCCTAAAAAAAAAAAAGGCAAGCATAAAACTTAAAGGAGGAAATGCCTTTTTGTAAGCTGTACAATAGGAAGGGGGAAGAAAGAAGCAAAATGAAGCTCTTGACAAGTGTACATAACCTGTACAAGTCAACATGTTGTTCTGTCTAATTTTTAGACAGAAAACAGTAAGTAAATTTTTTGTTAGCTTGAAGAGGGCAAGAGCTAGAACAGCAAATATTTTTAAGATCCAAATAATATTATTTACCAAGCTGTTTTTATCGGCTGCAAGATGGCAACACAGAGTTAAGAGTGCATATAAAGTGTAATAAGAATGATGATACCTGATACAGTTTTTCCTAGTACCTGCTGCCTGCGCACATGGTTCTGTAGAACATGCTGTAACCATTTTGGCTGCCTGAGGCTAACAGGCCTAGGCCTCTGATACCAGCACTTCTGTCAAGAGCTCACTCTCAAAGTTTTTTAATGTCTATGCCTAAGGTGATGATTTTTCAGAGGAGTTTGTGACCTCTTCTTTTCCCTTTGGTTAGGCGAAGAGAAATTGCGGAGCGGGAGCGCCGGGAGCGCATACGGATAATGCACGAGCGGGAGGAGTGTCTGCAGAGGGAAAGGGAGCGCTTAGAGATCGAAAGGCAAAAGCTGGAGAGGGAAAGGATGGAAAGGGAGCGTTTGGAAAGAGAGCGTGTTCGTATTGAACAGGTGTGCACCTTAGATTGTTTGGACTGTAGTGCAAATACAGTTTTGGATTATAACCCAGTACAACGGCTGTAATCTTTGGTTTGTTTGCTTGACTGGTGAGTAATTCAATGGCAAATTCTTGCTACTGGTTTATGCAGTGGCTATGTATGTCCTGCCCGTAATTTAACTAGCTTTTCCTAGACAATGTCACTGCAAACTTCATGTATTTCCGGGCAACAAATACAGTAGCAATACATGCAATTACCTGCAGTTACTTCTGTAGCAGGCAATAGCTTCTCCAGACCTGTTGTCTACTTCTAGAGAAGTATTCCTTATGCTCTTGAATATTAGACTCTATTGGGTGAATTTCATCAGGTAGCCTTGAACAGAAAACTGTCAACTATTAATTCTGTAAACTTGCCAGCTGTTCAATAGGTATCTCTAATGAAGAGCTATTTTGTTGTGTTTATTCACCCCTCCCTTTCCTGGCAGGAACGTCGAAAAGAAGCGGAGCGTATTGCTCGTGAAAGAGAGGAGCTTCGGCGGCAGCAGCAGCAACTGCGTTATGAACAGGAAAAGAGGAATTCTTTGAAACGTCCACGTGATGTAGATCACAGGTAATCTAATTCTAAAAGCATTGTTTTTCAGTGCTTAGTAAAAAGAAACAGCTAACAAACTTGTGTTGGACTTGAAAATGCATTTTTACCTGAAGCAAGTATTCACGCAAGAACTGGGTTTCTGGTATTTGGTTTTGACATCAGTTTCTGCCAAGTGTGAAACATAGTTTATATGTAGGTGAGAGTTTTGAAATGAGAGAAGCATCCTTTGAATTAATTATTCTATGAAAAGAGTGTAATGCAGTTCAGTGCATTAGCTGATAAAAGCTTTTCTTCTGCCTTAATAGTTGAAATTTCTAGCTTCTAATTTGTTAAGAATTCACATTTCTGGTAAACCAATGGGTCAGGAAGTCTGTGTGGTGGCTTTTAATTTTTACTGAAGCTGATGGCTTTTATCATGTGCTGTTTGAGCCACATTAATTGAACCAACTTGGTATTTGATTATAAGAATAGGACTGAGACCTTAGCTATAACGTTGACATATCAGTGGTACAATGGGAGGCAAGTCATCATGGTAGATGCAATAGCAGAACAGTAATCTTCACCAGGGGAATAAAGACAGCTTCATTTTTCAAGACTACTGATTACATAATTTAGTATCTCACATTCTTATCACAGGGATGTACTTCAATGTGTCTAGTGAGCAAGGCTGTGACATGCCTACACTGTTCTTTCCTGAGAAAGTTGTTCTGATTTGTGGGTGTTTCATTTTGTCCTTGAAGGCTTGCTTTTTTTTTTTTTTTTAATCCTACCAAGTTTTATTTTCAAGGCAGAATTTTGCTACAGTGATGTTTTTGTTGGGCTTTAGTTTAATTTTTTTAAACTACCCAACATGGCATACTATTGATTAGGTCATATTTTGTCTCTTTAATTTGCACTTTAAACACATGGGTGCTGCTGTTTCTTCCCTCCTCTCTCCCCTGCCTTAAATGATGATGTTCACTACTGTTTAAAGAGTTTACCTTTGTTAGTGGCAATTCAAAGTCAAATGAGGATCTTTAAAACAGACAATTGAATATAAACATTTTAATGCTTATTAGGCCTTGTTTGGATACCTGTAAGTGATGAGAGTTCATTTGTTTTGCTTAAAGGAGAGATGACCCTTACTGGAATGAGAATAAGAAGATGGCTCTTGATACAGATGCACGTTTCCATGGCTCAGATTACAGTCGCCAGCAGAACAGGTTTAATGATTTTGATCACAGAGAACGGGGACGATATCCAGAAGGTTCTTCTGTCCCATCATCATCTTTTGATAGGTAAGTTGAAATAATAGGGCAGATATTTGCTTGCCAGCATCACTGTGGATTTCACTCATAACTATTCAAAATTGTAAATTATGGTAAAGGCTTTGTACAGTTCTGATGCAACAGAATTGCAGTCGTGTCCTGAAATTTCTTGCATCTTCAGGACCAGTTCTTTGTATCATAATCTAGTCGGCTTTTCTGGGAGAACATAAAATTAGCTGCCTGGTGGTCTTTGGGTGACATTTCAAACTAATTTTTGCCATTATTCTTTTTTCACATCTAGTAGTAAGTAGGTTCTAATGGATTAGATCTGTCCTAATTAACTCATCTCCCTAAGAAGCAAGGCTAAAATCAACTGACCTAATGAGAGTTAAGAGCATTACTTGCATGAGTTACATCTGTCAGGGTCCATGCAACTGTGCAGTAAATGCTGCTTCCAGATCCAATCCATATTTCCATTAAGCATGTCCAGTAACCATTAGGACCATATAACTGTAGCTTCTGGACTTCTACTTATATGCTGCAATGAACTAGAATGGTATTTTCTAGCTGACTCGAGGATCTAGCATTCCCTCTGCTTGATATGAGCCAAAAAGGAGGCCCTACAATTGCTTAAATAATATTGGCCAAAATGTGAACAGATAAATGCACAAAGTTAAACTGGCTGTAAGAACTTGAGTTCAAAATTACAGTTGTAGAAATAAATACAACGTGAGGTTGGAAGGATGTTTGTGTTAATACTACATACATAGTAACAAACATGCAATAGAAATATTTATGTGCATTCATAGGTGCAGAGAAATGGGAAAATGGGAGACAAATTACTTTTTCCTGCTTTAACAACTTAGGAGAGAACGTTTTGTAAATCAAGGTGAAGTGAAAAAGACTCGCCCAACAGCACGAAGAGAAGAGCCAGGGTTTGAGAGATACCCAAAGAATTTCAGTGAGTCCAGAAGAAATGAACCACCACAACCAAGAAGTGAACTTCGAGACACAGACAGACGAGAAGTGCGAGGAGACAGAGATGAAAGGAGAACAGTGATAATTCATGATAGACCTGAAATACCACACGGGCGACATCCAAGAGAGACTGGTTCAAATCCACCTAGGCCAACAAACTGGAAGGGCGAGGGAAGCATAAGCACAGACAAACGAGATGGCAGGTAAATTTCCTGGCTAAACAGCAAACTAGTGAAGGTACCGATTCTTGTAGAATTTATCCATAGTAGCAATTCCTCAGGAACTGATGTATAAAGAGATAACTGGCTCCTCCAGAAGAATGGGAAAATCACTTTCCAAAAGCATTAGCAAAAAATTGTCTGTAGGTTGTCACATAAGCTAAACCTCATCTGTTAACCTTGATGCTGATTCTCATCAGTCTTTTCTTAATCATGTATAGCAACCTATAGTAAGGAGGTTTTTGTGCAAGAATGCAGATATAAACAATTAACATGTAAGGTCTAATTATTTAGAGCCACATAGATCAAAAAGAATGTTTCTAAGAAGCTAACTGCAAGCTGCTAGGAGCCTGAAAAAACAAAAAGAAATCTTTGAAGTTTAAATGTGCTGTGATTAATATTGATTCTATTATACTGAAACCAAAATCTTGATCAAAGTAATTTCCACAGAGGCGAGAGGCCGGATCGATCAGGAAGAGAAGTGTCTGGACACGTGAGAGGTGCACCCCCTGGTAGCAGGAGCAGTGCTTCTGGGTATGGAAGCAGGGAAGGAGAGCGAGGAGTGATGGGAGAAAGAGGTGGAGGACAAGTGAGTCATCTTCTTGTGTTTTCCTGCATGAGTGGGGCTGGAAAATGTAAAATCATGCTGGAAAAAATGACCATGTAGCATCACATAAATCACTAGCAAGCATTCTGGCTATTACCAAGTTATTTTAAAGGTTCTTTTCTGTTGGCTTTTTTAATAAGCCAAGAAACTGCAGAAAACACACCCAGTTCAGATAGGTCAGAACCATACCTGAATGAGGTGCTGATTAGGCTTTTAGAAAGTTGTTGTTATCCTGTTTTCAGGGTCTTAATCTGACACCGCGTGATATTTGCAGGGCAGTTTGGCACTGTGATCTATAATGTGCTACTGAGAGAAAAACCTTCTGTAAGACTTGTCTCTAAGATTGCTGACCACATGCTTCATGCTATGGGATCCTGAAGCATTTTTCAAATAAAGTGTTTAACTTTCTGTAGATACATGGAACATCTTTGTCAGTGATTATAGAAATGAGCAAGCAGTTCATGGAGCTTTGCTCCCTGCATACCCAGTCATTGTTCCAAATCTTAACTGTCTTGAAAGCTTGTTTTTTGTTGATAAGGACATACTTCTTTCATTCTGAGAATGACTGTCACTCTCTTACTAGCACTATAATGAGGACAGACACGTTGTTGAACGCCACAGTCGTGAAACTGGACCAAGAAAAGAATGGCATGGACCTAGTTCTCAAGGAAGTGGGTATCATGATGCAAGGAGAATGGGAGACGGCCGGGGAGGAGGTGGCATGATGTCTCCACACACAAGGTACAAAAACTACTCCTTCCTCTCAATTCCCTACTGAGCTCTCAAAGCTGTGGTTATACTTACGAAGTAAAATAAGTCTGGGTGCAAGCAGCGTTACTTTCTGGGGACAGGTTGCTGCTGCACAACATAGAAACCATCTTTCTGTGCCAGCAAGTGGCTCCACAGCTGTCATATTGCCTGTGGCAGTATTGTTCAGCTGCACAAAGCCAGTGACTTCTTGCAAAGTCTCTTTCCTTGCGTGGTTTCAAGTCTCTTTTGAGACTTAAGAGTTTTAACAGTTGAGTGATACGAGAAGTAACAATGTTCTTCTTACCTGTACACCAAGAGTTTAGATACTTAACCTTTTTTTAAAACCTTTGTTTCCAGTAACTCTTCACCAATTAATAGAGTTGTACAGATCACAGGCAATTCCATGCAGAGGGGAAGTGGCTCAGGATTTAAGCCATTTAAAGGTGGACCTCCACGAAGATTCTAAGATCTACAGCTGCTTGGTTTCAAGATAACTTATTGAAATCTCTTGTAAACTTTCTCTGATTAAAAACAGGAAATCTTGTCTGGAAGTCCTGGTTAAATTTTTTTAATTTAACACGATTACTTTCCTCTCAATTTTGGAGGCATTTTAATAGTTACGTTGTAATTTTTGGATAGTTTTTGTGTATCTTTGATAAGCATTTTCCCTGAGGCACTAGAGCTGTGTAAAAAAACAAATTGGAACCAAAATATTTGTTAATCCTGTATAAAAGAATAGTTTGCAGCTGTGTGCTAGTAGTTTGATTTTTCAACATTAGCTCTGTGGTGTCATGCTTTAAAGTTAGCTACTAATCACAACATACACAACTATAACCTCCATTTTGAAGGTTGTCCAGGCTATTATCTCTGCTTTCTAATTTGTAGAAAAATAAGATTGTTCTTTCATTACTGGGTATTATGTAACCTATTTTTGCAGAAGGTACTGTTACATCGAGTGCATTTATGTGTATTCTTGCAAATGTATTCTTTTGAAATAAACCTTCATATTCTGTATAGCTTCTAGTCAGTCTTTGAAACAGTCTTTGGGGAAGGAAGACAGAATCAAACAGAGATGTTGGTTTAGCAAGTCAAAACATGGGTGCCATTAGCTTCCAACTAAAACTTATTGCCATTCTTGAATTGAAAATCTAGAAGCACCTGTGATAGCACAAGAATGATTAGTACCAACAAATCTGAGAACACTCAAGGCAGGCCTAAAGAAATAATTTTGCAGTTTGCTCTTTTGTGTGCAGCAAAGCTCTAGGAGAGCTTTGCTACAGCTTATTTTCATCCAGGCTACCACAAATGAACTTGGCTTGGAGTGGTTGGGGAAGCCTACATCTGCAGTCTTGTTCAGTGCACCTACAGCTTTTCATTACTGTGGTCTCAGGCAAAAGAGATGCATCTTTTTAAACCTTTTGCTTTTGTCTGACATTGAATAGGTAGGTGTGTGACTAGTGGAGTCCCACAGGGGTCAGTACTGGGACCGGTGTTGTTCAACATCTTCATCAACGACCTGGATGAGGGTATAGAATGTACCCTCAGCAAGTTTGCTGATGACACTAAGCTGGGAGGAGTGGCTGACATACCAGAAGGCTGTGCTGCCATTCAGAGAGACTTAGATAGGCTGGAGAGTTGGGTGGGGAGAAACCTGATGAAATTCAACAAGGGAAAGTGTAGAGTTTTGCATTTGGGGAAGAACAACACCATGTCCCAGTATAGGTTGGGGGCTGACCTGGTGGAGAGCAGTGTAGGAGAAAGGGACCTGGGGGTCCTGGTAGACAGGAGGATGAC